TGGGCGTGGGTGGGGGCGGGGCGCGGGCTCCCTCAGCACCCCTGCGCCCCACCCCCGGCGGGCAGGAAAGGCGGGGGGCGTCTGCTGGGAAGCGGGGTTCGGGCGGAGGGAGGAGGTCGGATTTCCGCCTGAACCGAGGCGGATGCCTGGTGGGTCAGGCTCTGGGGCTAGGGAAGGCTCTCCCGGCCTCAGTGTCCCTGCGCTGCCCGGCAGGAGGCCCGGGGGTCGGAACCCCTCCTTCAGGGCGCTGCGCCGCTGGACTCAGCAGGTGGGGGCTCCGCAGGGCTCGCGGGAGCCAGGCGAGGGGCAGTCTGGGGCTTGCACGCGCTGCCGCCCCCTGGGGCTCTACCTGTCCCCTCTCTGAGCCCCAGGCCTTGCCTCCGCGACCCATGATGGACCCTGGGTCTCCCCTTCCCAGCTGCTTTGTCCAGCTGCTCCGTGCCGGGCAGGGCCGGGTGGCCAGGCCCTTCCAGGGCCGGCTTCCCAGAATTCCTCCTGGGGGCTGCGGTCCCCACCCCCAGGGTCAGGCTGGGCAGGACGGCAGAGGGCGGTGGGTTCGAACAGCTGGGTAGATGCCGGGGGCAGGCGTGGCCCTGTCCTGGATGGCAGCTGAGACACCTGTCGCTGGTAGCGCAGGCCCCACGGAGAGGCTCCCCAAGCTCTGCTCAGGGCAGACTCCGGAGAAGCCGCCAGCATCCAGCCTCCCCACCTGCCTCTGGGCCCCAGCCATGGCCCGCGGCATCGGCAGCAAAGTGGGGTGAGGCCTGGTATCAGGTTGGGCAAGCCGAGGGGCAGGGGTGGGTAGGCAGGGTCAGCGAGCCACGGACTCTGTGGGTACTCTCAGCCCTCAGCCAAGAGCCCAGGACACCTGAAGGGCCAGCCTGTGCCCTGCACTCCAGGCTCCTGGGTCTGGAGATGCCTCGTCATGCCAGGGCCCCAGCTCAGGGGAGGACAAGGCGTTGCCATGGTGACTGGAGGCCATTGGCCAGCTCTAAACAGAGGGGTGGGTCGGGGAGAGGCCTCTGGGAAAGGACGAAGGAGTACTTCCTTAGTGTCTCTGCCTCAGTTTCCTTTCTGAGACCAGCATCCATCCATGTACACTGCTCAATACTTTTTGTGGTGCCGGGGATCAAACCCAGGGCTGTGCATGCAGGCAAGAGCTCCACCACTGAGCTGCATCCCAGCCCTGCCCTGCTCCACCATGAGCTCCATGCAGGTCGCGTGTTCTCCTTGCACTCTCCTGACTCAGCCTTGTCTTCCCTGCTCTCCCTGCACAAGTGTACCTTCTAGGGTCAAGTGGCTGAGTTATATCCTCAGGCAGATGCCCAGGTTCAGATCCCAGGCCTCCCGTTAACCAGCACAGTGACCTAAACTCTCGGAGCCCCTCGGCTGTGAAACAGACTGGTACCTCACTCACTGTGAGATGCACTTTTATGGTGCTGTTGGGCCTAGCCACGCCCGGCCTGGGAAGTGCTAAGATTTGAAGGTGTGCCTGCGTTACCTTGGAGAAGCAGCTGAGCAACCCCTGCCTCTCCCGGCTGCAAGGAGACTCGGATGAACACCCCTAAAATGTGGGTTTGGTGGGGGGTGCAACTCAAGTTGAGCCTGTGAAGCTTGACTTGAGGTCCTAGGTTCGATTCCCAGCGCTGAATGCAAATACATAAATATTTTATATTTATTTATTTTTGTCTTTCTGAGACAGGGTCTTGCTATGCAGTTCAGGCTGGCCTTGAGCTCACTTTGTAGCCCAGGCTGGTCTCGAATTTGCAGTGATCCTCTTGCCTCAGCCTCCTGAGTGCTGGGATTACAGGCGTGCACCACCATGCCTGGCGCAAATACGTAAATAAATGCTGGCTCCTATTACAGTATGTCCTCTGGCTGGGTGTGGTGGTGCACACCTGTAATCCCCAATGCTGTGGAGACTGAGGCAGGAGGACTGCCAGTTTGAGTCTCACCTGGACAACTTAGTGAGATCCCATTTCAAAATTTTAAAAAGGGCTGCGGGTATGGTGCAGCGTGAGGCCCTGGATTCCACCTGTCCCACTGTAACACTCCTGCTTTGGCGCTGACCCAGAGCTTTCCCAACATCCCCCCTTGACCTTGGGGTGCCCTGTCTTGCCCACAGAGATCCTGATCAAGGTGCAGGTGTACGTGAGTGGGGAGCTGGTGCCCCTGGCCCGGGCCTCGGTGGACGTGTTTGGGAATCGCACGCTGCTGGCTGCTGGCACCACAGACTCTGAAGGCGTAGCCACCCTGCCACTCAGTTACCGCCTGGGCACCTGGGTGCTGGTCACTGCTGCCCGTCCCGGCTTCCTCACCAACTCGGTGCCCTGGCGGGTGGACAAACTGCCCTGTGAGTGCGGAGCAGGGGCAGCAGCTGGCCCTCCATCAGACCCTTCCCAAAATAGCCCCTGGGGTGGGGGGGTTCTGGCAGCTGCTGCAGGGCTGGGATGGTGGCTGAGGGAGCCCCTGGCCTGCCCTGCACTGGGGCTGACTCCCCACCCCCGCAGTGTACGCATCTGTCAGCCTGTACCTGCTCCCCGAGCGGCCGGCCACCCTCATCCTCTATGAGGACCTGGTGCACATCCTGCTCGGCTCCCCGGGTAAGGCCACCTCCCTGCGCCCCCGTGGGACCCCCCCCTCCTCCCCTGGGGCTGTGGCTGGGTGCCCTGGGCATCACTTGCTGTCCGTGCCACCCTTTGTCTGAGCATCAGGTGTAGAAGGGCAGATTCTGCATCACCAGATCGAGGCAGGGGTGAAATCACAGCAAGGGTGTGTGCGGAAACCTGGCCCACAGCCGTGAAGGCCTCCGTCCCCAGGACCTCCCCAGCGGGTCCCCTGCTCCCAGCCCCTGCTCCCAGCCACTTGAACCCAGCGATCTGCACAGATTTGCTGTGCTCCTGCAGTGTCTGACAGCCACCTGGGCATGAAGGGTGAATTCACACACAGGCCCTGGGGTGGGGCCAGGGGCGAGCAGGGGCGGGGCGGCTGCCCCAGTGAGGGGCTCTGCCCTCTTCAACTGCCCTCTTCAACAGCGGCTGGGGGCCTGCAGGCCTTGGGTTCCTCGTGTCGGTCCTGGCAGGCCCTGTGCCAGGGAGGCAGGAGGGAAGGGGTGAGAGGGTCACCCTGCCCCCGGCCAAGCATCAGTCCCCTCTAGGGCAGTAGCCTTGGGCAAGTTACTGAACTCCTGCATCCCTGCTTCTGGGAAGCAGGGCTGGTCCCTCGGGCACCGCCCCACGTGTGTGGCCTCATGGGGGTCACTGAGGGGACCTGCGTGAAACGGCTCAGCATACTCTAAAGCTTAATAAATGGGACCCTCGACCATCCCACCCCGCGTCCTGGCCCTGCGCCCTGCACCCGGCATGTATGTGCACACACTGCACACACCCTGGCCTTCACCGCAGGAGCACCTGTGTCTTCTTCACTTGGGAAAATTTCAATTAAAATTAATTAACTCATTAACAGTTCAGTCCAGTTCTTCAGTCACAACGGTGACATTTCCAGTGCTGAACAGCTCCGAGAGTCCACGAGCACAGACCCCATCAGAGCCCTCTCGCAAGAGGACAGGGCTGCCTGGCTGGGACCAGCGCGGGGAGTCCGTGTGGCTCTCCTTCGAGCCGGGACCCAAGCTGGTGTCTGCCACGTGCTGGTCGAGGACCCGAGCTCCTCTGTGCATCCCTCCCAAGGAAATGGTGCTGTCGCCGCCGTTAGGGCCACATCCCTTCCTGGCCAACTTCTGCGGCCGCGCGCTTTCCCCGGGGCCCCACTTCCCACGCCCGCCCTGTCCCCGCAGGTGCCCGCTCGCAGCCCTGGGTGCAGTTCCAGCGCCGGGCCGCGCGCCTGCCGCCCAGCGCCACCTACAGCCAGCTGTGGGCCTCGCTCACGCCCGCCAGCACCGCGCAGGAGCTGCGCGCCTTCCCGGCCTTCCTGGGCACTGAGGCGCCGGGCGCAGGTAGGCCGGGCACGGGCGAGGGCGGGAGTCCCACCGCGGGCCGCGCTCACCCGCGCCTCCCCCGCAGGCAATGGGTCCTGGCTGGAGCTGGCGCCGCTGGCGGCCGTGAGCGTGCAGCTGCTGGC